CAGGACCATGAGAAGGAGGTGGAAACTCTGAAAGAGGAGATTAAGAGATTGAAAGAAGAGAGAGCCAGTCTGCAGAGGAAGATCGAGGAGGAGGGCCAGGTGAACTCTGACCTCCAGGAACAGGTCATCCAGCTCACCAAACACGTCAAGGTTATTCCCGAGCTCCGCAGAGATCTCAACAACATGCAAAACCAGAGGAATAACATGGACCGAAAGATGAAGCAACAGTCAGAACAAGCGAGAGGTGCACGCTTTTACTTATACCTTCAGTTATGAAAATGATACGTTATAGATAAATAAAGACAATATTGTGCTGACGATACCTGAATATCTTTCTGCAGCTAAAATGAAAGATATTACGAGACAACTTCTTGGTGGTGTTGTTGAGGAGGAGGTTCTTTTGGGGTAACTCAAATATGTTAGGCGTTTCTCTCACATTGTTGTTCCATATCTCATTTAGTCATTTAATCTCACACATTGTTTCTCTGAAGGCTAACTCCAGACGACTCGGAGAAGATTTATGAAGTTGAAGATTTGCTGGCAGCCTTTGATGGCCTACAGAAAGCGACCAGGTGTCTATTTCTACTGACAACCATAACACTCCCTTCACTTAATGCCATTGTTAAGTCGTTTACCCGCGTGACAAACTTGTTTACTCTTGATCCTGTTTAACACGGTTCCACCTTTGACGGCAGAATAGTAAAAAACTGCCAGAAGGAACAGAGGGAAAGCTACGAGACACAAGTGGAGGGCTTGAACTTGAAGGCGGACCACCTTCAAAATGAGAACAGCAAGTTGCAAAACCTGTTCCACGAGAAAAGTAATCTCAACGAGAATATTCGCCAAGAAGTGTCCAGGCTCAGCAGCGAGAACTCTGTACGTTATTGCATTCTTGGTCCCATATTTCATTCCTTTGGATCGATGAGGTGCAGAACCTTCTGTCATTTCTCTTATTTCATGTGATCCACAGGTTATACCGGAGCTCAAGCTGCAGGCTTCAGAGCTGCAGAGACAAAAACAAGAATTGGAGGCCCACATCGAGGTGCAGGGCAGAGAACTAGCAGGTTAGTCTGTTTTTCCTCATCTATTTCACCATGAAGCTCTTTTGCAGATTAGAATCTGACCTGTTACTTTGTTGTTGTTTTTTGTTTGTTCGTGTCATCCAAAAGAAAAAACTGAGGAGGTCACAAACATTCTTCAAAAGAAGATTAAAGAAGAGAGCTCCCAACGCAGGTAAAACACCCGGACTGGAGTCTGTTTCTTGATTAATGAAGTGATGGTCATTTCTGAGTCGGCCTGATTTTTGTTGCTTTTAAGGCACTTTGAGGAAAAAGCTGAAGAGCTGGACGAGTTGAAGGGGGAGCTTCAGGGCAGAGTTGAGGAGCTGGAAGACGAGAATGATCATTTGAAGAGACAGATGCTGATGGAGAGCGAAGCTAAGAACAAACTGAGACAGGAGACTTCACGGTTAACCGCTGAGAATATGGTGTGTGTGTGTGTGTGTGTGTGTGTGGATATAGAGGGTTACAGTACGATTGTGTGCATATACGTCTTGTCTGTGAAAGACAGAAACAAATTGTGCTTTTCTTTCAGGACTTTGAAGAGCAGCTCGACCAGAAAGACAGAATAATAAAGAAACTCCAGAATCACATAAAGAGCATCGAAACATCCCAGAAAGGTATAGTGCTGTGGTTTGTACACACACAATATAAGATGAATCCACCTGCTCTGTGTTCATCACTTTAACGTCTCTCTCACACAGCCAAGCAAACGCCTGCACCTGCCATTCCCAAAGATTACCTTGGCATGTTGGAGTACACGAGAGAAGATGAATCCAGGCTCGTTCAAAACATCATTCTGGGTATTCTTCTTCATTCATTTTGTGACTTTGTGTGTATGCTAGAGGAAGCATCTGCGGTCCTCTGGATTTTGAGCAGGAATAAATTGTAATTAAACTTGCTATATTGTACTCACAGACCTAAAGCCCAAAGGTGTGGTGGTCAATGTGATCCCCGGTCTGCCATCTTACATCCTGTTCATGTGCATCCGCCATGCTGACTACTTGAACGATGAAGTCAAACTCAAGTCTCTTATGACTGCGATCATCGGTGCTGTCAAAAAGGTCACCATGGTGAGGTTGATTCTCATTCTAGTAGCCTTTATCTCAACTGATTTGCTAAATAAATAATAGTATCATGATATAAGTAATAGTAAAATTCCAAAAGCTATTACTCATGTCCATATTTCAGATTAGGTAGCCTGAATGTTGGCAGCAGTGTAGTTTACTTTCATTATCTTACTTTTTGATATTGATGGTTTTAAAAGGATAAACAGCTGGGAAAGGAAATGTACAAGTTGCATGAAAGAAATGAAATGTCACATCAATGAAGAATTAGAATTACAAACATTTGGTTGCTGAAAAGAAATGAAAGCAAGATGACTTTCTTTTTTCAGAGTCACCACAAAGACTTTGAGTTGCTGTCATTCTGGCTCTCCAACACGTATCAGCTGCTCAACTGTCTGAAACAGTACAGCGGGGAGGAGGTCTGTATTTACTGCATTTACCCTGGTGGCACTATTATTGTTTTTGTTGAAAATATCATATACATAACAGGCATATTTTGACATTCTCTTGTCTCTTTGTTGCGTTCTGTTACAAAAGGAGTTCCTGAAACAAAATACTCCTCGACAGAAAAAGAACTGCCTGCAGAATTTTGATTTGTCTGAACACAGACAGATTCTCAGCGACCTGGCCATTCAAATCTACCATCAGTTTGTCTCCGTCATGGAAAAGACCCTGTCTCCTGCAATTGGTATTTTATCATCATCATTATCACATGCAGATTTTGATAGTGCTCATCCTTTATAAGCAACCTTAAATCTGCTGCTTGGCTTTCTCGCCCGACAGTGCCAGGTTTGTTGGAGCACGAGAGCTTACAGGGCATTTCTAGCATGAAGCCGACGGGCTTCAGGAAGCGCTCCAACAGCATCTACGAGGACTCAGAGACACACACCATCTCCACCATCGTTCAGCAGCTCAGTGTCTTCCACTCCACCATGAGCCAGCATGGCATGGAGCACGGACTCATCAACCAGGCAGTCAAGCAAATGTTCTTCCTAGTTGGCGCAACCACCCTCAACAACATCATGCTCCGCAAAGATATGTGTTCCTGCAGAAAGGGAATGCAGATCAGGTCTGTGGTTGGTTTAATGAGAATAAAGACGATTTCTTTACGCAGACAAAAATGAGTTCATAGCTTTTGTTTGTTTAGGTGTAACATCAGTTACCTGGAGGAATGGCTGAAGGAGAAGGAACTGCAAAGTTCTAATGCTATAAATACTCTGAGGCCGTTGTCTCAGGCCGCCTGGCTACTGCAAGTCAACAAGTCCACTGACGACGACGCCAAGGAGATCACGGAGAAATGCACTGAGCTCAACCCCGTTCAGGTACTTGATGCATGCCACACATGCTGTATTTTTAATATTGGAACAATCCATCTTAACACTGAAACAAAACTTGCAGATTGTCAAGATTTTGAACTCCTACACTCCCATTGATGATTTTGAGAAAAGGGTGACGTCGTCATTTGTTCGCAAAGTTCAGGTGAACTTGATTGTTTATTTTTCTAATTTGAATGCAACACACTTTTCTAATTTAAAGTACACTGTAAAGTCATGAAATCACCTGCCAAATGTACTTGCACTTGACTAAATATGCCAAGTTTCTCCTTGTTGCAGTCATTACTACAAGATCGTGACGGGTCCAGCTCACAGCTGATGCTGGACTCAGGCTATCGTTTCCAGGTCACGTTCCCTTTCTGCCCGTCCTCGCAGGCTCTGGAGCTGCTGCAGGTCCCGAGCAGCCTTCACCTGGGCTTCCTAACCAGGATCTGACACAGCCAGCCTTCAACCTCTCACTCCTCATGACTGATTCATAGTCCGGCAACTTATGACTGCAATTTACTGTATATATACACACATGTGAACACTTTAATTAAACAATAAACACAACATATTTAAAATGGAAGGCTAAGGCCAAGATTTTTGAATTACAGAGGTCATTTACCCCCAACGCACCCACTCCAAAAGGAAAGAATTTGTATTTTCATATTTTGCTAATTAATTAATTAGTCAATCCACAGAAAATAATCATGAGTAACTTTTTTTTGTAATTGATTAATAGCTTCATTTTACAATCAAATACTTCATCCGTTCTCTGGTTTAAGCTCCAGTGTGAGGATTTGCTGCTTTTCTCTGCTTTATATCATTAAAAACTAAATAGCAGTTCGTTTTGGGCTGCTGGTCACAACAAAACAATCCATCTGAAGACTGCAGACCAAAACATTTCATTTCCCAACATCAAGGTCTGAATGCTGCCAATTAAATACCCATCAACTAATTACATTACCTCAGCGTCATCAGTGTGATCCAAAATTAAAGTGGAATCAATCAAACTCAAACGTATTTTGAATCATTAGCTCAAAACAGGAGATTATATAGGATATTAATATATTTGTTTAAAAACAGCCGTTTGATTTGAAAACATATTTACTGAATAATAGACTGTTGAAATAACTGGTTTTATATGTTCGAACATCTTATTTATCTGCCGTGTTTTTGCATTACGGTAAAAAAAAGGCCACTAGGGTTGCTGATTGCTTTGTTTAGACACGTGCAAAAAATGACAATGTTTCCAAAATGAAAACAATTTATTACTTACAATCGCAGCGTTTCCTAAAACAAACAGAGCACAGGTGCACTCTCTGTCACAAGTCTATTTCCTAAATCCTAGACAAAATAAACCATATAATCCATCTGCATTCATTACTGCACGGTCTACAAACTGTTTGCTTCCGTGCAGTCAGCCACACCTGTACCAAGTACCCCTCCTGATCATTTTTAACCTCTTGCCTAATTGACAGCGGCGCTACGCCCCCAAGTGGTGGGAGGTTTACCAAAACAATAACAAAATGGCTCTTACAGGTAGTTTGCATACAGCAGTATTGTGTTTTCCATGTCGGCAGTATTCAAATGCATAATTCAGCGGTAGAGTAGTGAGGCTGCTGAGGATGCAGCAGCATCACCGGGATGCAGGATGCAAGAACCTCCTCCTCCTCCTCCTCCTCCATCTGAAAACTGGAGGAGCATCTTCTCCCCGTGACGTCATGACAGCAGCATCAGCTGTTAGCTCTGCTTCAAGCCTTTTCGCTGCCGATCGCTGCCTGCACGAAGGAAATATATGAGATCCCCTCTAGTCCCTGAAATGGCGACACAGGAGGTACAGCTGAATGAGACTCTGTCCCATCTCAAAACGGAGTCGGAGACGCTGAAGACGAAGCTGGAGGAGGAGAGAGCGAAGCTGCACGACGTCGAGCGTGAGTGCTGCTGAAAATGGAGCGGCCTCGAGCCACCGCTGCGTTTACACTGTGACGAGACAAATAACAGTAAATGTCTCTGTTGAGAGACAAATGTATTTTAGCGGGAGGACAAATTGTGTCCGTTTTACAGGGACGTGAGTGTGTCCGAACTGATGATTGACCCGATTGGCTCGACGTTAGATCCAGATATTTAACAGGCGACTTCAGCAGTGTGTTTGTTTGCTTCCCCTTTTTTAAAGCCCTCTGCTTCCATCTGAATTGTATGTAATGTAGTGGTTTAGTCCAATCACATATGGCACAGATGTTGGAAAAGAAACCTAGAAACAACCTTTATAATGCATGTTTGTTTATGAGAATACATGACACAAAAAAAAGATTCATTTAAAAATATTCCTGTATATGTTGTAGGCCCACTTTAATCCTTATTGCTCATGGGAATATTAATCCAGTGTATATCCAGTAGAGGGTTTAATGTACTGTGTGTGTGTGTGTGTGTGTGTGTGTGTGTGTGTGTGTGTGTGTGTACAGTACATCAAGTGGCAGAGAAGGTGGATGGATTGGGTCAGTTTGTCATGAAGACCAGAAGAACTCTGAAGGGACATGGCAACAAAGTTCTGTGTATGGACTGGTGTAAGGACAAGAGGAGGATCGTCAGCTCCTCACAGGTCACACACTCTACGCTCCTGCTGCCTTAAATGCTTTTAGCCCAGTGTATGAGTGCATGATTTACAGTAAATGTGTTTTTATATTCTACTTGTTCTGATCTCTTTGCAGGATGGAAAAGTGATTGTATGGGATGCTTTCACCACCAACAAGGTAACTTTCTCTTTTCTAACATGCATCTATTTTTATTGCGAAACCATTTGTTTTGTAAAATGCTGAGATTTTTAAAAACGTTTTCACATTTGACCCGTTACTGCATCCTCCTGTAAGCTTGTTATAAACCAGTGTTTCAGCTATGCTCCCTGACACCAAGTCAACCTTCTCGACATCTTTAACTATTGTCTAAACCAGTGTATGAGTGCATGATTTACAGTAAATGCGTTTTTACTGTAAAAACACATTTACTGTTGTAACCATTCATAACGAAGCAATCGGCTACTAATAGCTACTTCTGACCCCTCATCAGAGATTATGGACATAACTTTTGTTCAACCGAGTTCAACCAAAGAGTGGTTTTCCATCTCAGATTGCTATCACAAGGACTGATACAGGAAAACATTCCTGCCCTCTGCTATTAGACTCTATAATAAATCACCTCTGGCCAAATCAAACACAAGACTATAACACTGCTAACTGTTGTTGCTGCTGCTGGTGATCTTGTGCACTACTGTTTTGTTTATTTTTTCCTACTTAGTTAATTTAATACGATTCTACTTAGTGTATATACTGTGCATTTTTATTACTTTATCTTCTTAAATCTAATAGGTCCTGCTCGGTTATTTTATTTTATTACATTGCATATATTGTGCATTTTCCCCACTTAATATTTTTATTTTATTGTGTAACACTGTTTGCTGCTGCCACAGACAAATTTCCCCTTGGGGATGAATAAAGTTCTATTCTATTTTATTTTAAGTATTTTATGAATAATAATATTATAATAATGAAATAATTGTAAATTATTGTGAATGTTGCAGAGGGAGCCTTTGTATAGAAACATCATCTATCATCTAAAATGTATTTAAAATGCCAGTTTGGCTTCATAAAGTTTCTGCTTTGGACAAATGGTTACACCGCTGATGTGTAACAGCCTAACGCTTCCTGTTCTGCTCTAATTAATTGATTCTAATGAATTTGATTCATCTTGGTGTCCTGATGCGGCTCATGCAGCTTTGCGTTTTGATATGTATTAGGAGCACGCTGTGACAATGCCTTGCACCTGGGTGATGGCCTGCGCCTACGCCCCCTCCGGCTGTGCTGTAGCTTGTGGGTGAGTGTCTTGCTGTTCGTGAGGATCCAAATGTGGCTTGTCATCTGTTTGGGGTTCCTGTTCTGTTTTTGTAAACTTTGGTCATTTTCTTGTCACAAGGGGCCTGGATAATAAATGCTCGGTGTATCCTCTCTCTCTGGACAAGAATGAGAACTTGGCTGCCAAGAAGAAGTCAGTGGCCATGCACACAAACTACCTGTCAGCCTGCAGCTTCACCAACTCAGATATGCAGGTGAGATCATCGGCCAGACACAAAAACACATGCACCCAAAGCAAGTTTACCCCAATTTTACACTCTAGGCTCCTGCAAACACGGTTGTTTTTTCTATTCATTACTATCTCTCATTATTTATCACAAATCACTGCCTTCAATGTTCCTATGTAAGGAGCTCTCCCACTTTGTTAATAATTCACAGCAGCCAGTTGCTCCTTGATGTCCTGGTCACATGATGTTTCACACGGAAAAGGCAATCCATTTATAGCTGTGTGTTAGCCCACATAGACTTTTACTGATCTTCAGAACAGACACTATTCTTCCTCCTCATCGTCTGCTTGTGTTAAAGATCCTGACGTCCAGTGGGGATGGAACATGTGCATTATGGGATGTTGAGAGTGGGCAGCTGTTGCAGAGTTTCCATGGACACGCAGCAGACGTGCTCTGTCTGGACCTGGCCCCCTCTGAGACTGGAAACACGTTTGTTTCAGGGGTGAGGACACCTTTCACTACAGTTTATTGTTATTTAAATTCACTAGTTTACTTCACACATTTGGGTCATATTCTGCATCATTCTGTGTTATTGCAGGGCTGTGATAAGAAGGCCAATGTGTGGGACATGCGTTCAGGACAGTGTATTCAGTCCTTTGAAACTCACGAATCGGACATAAATAGCGTGCGGTAAGTTACTGCCAATTGTACATTTTAAGTGATAAGTGGAAATTATATTTTTAATTCATCCATCAGTGAGAAACATGCTGATATTTTAAATCCTCTATGTGTAAAATGTTATGTCTTGTAACATCTTTCAAGTTAATCTGATATTCTACCGCACAGTGTCTTTCTTCATGCCACCACTGGGAGTCGCTATAAGTCAGATATAATCAAAGGCTACGCAAGAGAGCTGTTTGTTCCTAACTTGTCTGTTTCTTTTTTAATAGATACTATCCCAGTGGAGATGCATTTGCGTCTGGCTCAGATGACGCTACAGTAAGTAATCAGATATTTACCACACGAAGTGCAAATGGAAACATATTGAAAATAACTTTAACATTCAAACAATGACCTTTGTTACAGTGCCGGCTGTATGACTTAAGAGCAGATAGAGAAGTGGCTATTTATTCCAAAGAGAGCATCATTTTTGGGGTCTCCAGTGTTGATTTCTCTCTCAGTGGTAAGAAATATACACCATCTGGTTGTTCAACCAAACAGCAGTTGATGACCAATCAGGGCTTAAAATAAAAATATTTATGTTTTTGTTTTTTTAAAATCTTTCAGGACGGTTACTGTTTGGCGGCTACAACGACTACACCATAAATGTTTGGGATGTTCTCAAAGGAACACGGGTCTCTATTCTGTTTGGACATGAGAACCGTGTCAGTACACTGCGTGTTTCTCCAGATGGGACCGCCTTCTGCTCAGGTTCCTGGGACCACACTCTTCGGGTATGAGATGTCTGTTCTTAACTTTTCAAATGTGCAGTGACCTTTTTGTTGATGTCTTGTAATGTCTGCTGTTTTATTTTTCCAGGTCTGGGCTTAATGATGAAGACACAGAGGATTAAATGGTAGACAGACCTACTGAAGACGCACCATAAGGTTTCTGTTTGCTAGAGTACAATCACAGAGATAGAGACTCAGTTTTGGTTGTACATAGGGCATATCAATAGCATTGTATATACTCCAGTCTCATGGCCACGGTAGATTTACATATTTCAGAGAGTAATTAAACCAAATGGCACGCTTGTATTACAGTATGGTTGAAAGAAAATTGCACAGAGGTACTTATGGTTACAACTTATGATGTAAAATGTATATTGCAGAACAAACATTGGTAGTGACTAGCATCAGTCTAGGATAGAAGTGACACAATAAAGTGATGTGTTGTATGAGCCCACATAAAGGACATTACTTGTTCATTTATTTGTTGTTGTTTTTTTTGCACAAAAAATAATGGAAGTGCAGACTGAAGAAGAAAATAGGATACTAGAAGCAAAATACTTCTGCAGAGGACGCAGTAAAGTTTTATGAAGGTCTCAGCTTCACAATTAATCAATAATGGATAGTTTGAAGCCATATGATGGAGCATTGGCATAAATATTAATGAACAAAAGTACAACTTTGTAGTTTATGAGGATGAGATATGACAGACATGGATTTAATTACATATCCTGCGCACCCAAGCCTTGACAGCAACTCACCTGCCAATATTATTCTAATGCAAAAAGAAGCACATATTTAAAGGTAAATCTAAAATATATGATGTAGATTTCCCCTCCCAATGATTTGAAAAGATGGTTTACCTCTCATTTGTCTGTTTCCAGCAGTGGAAGCCACTTACTGCTCTATGTGCTCACTGCATCTGAATCTGTGGTCCCTTACTAGATATAAAAATACTAATGCATATGAATAAAAAAAAAACATGTTTAAATTCTTAGAATATACTCCTTTTCATGCAGTTGTCCAATGGCTGTAATTTAATATTTACTGTAAGTATTTTATTGTAGTTTAGTGTACAGTTATTAAAGGGACTGTATCAAAGTATTAACATAATAAACTGAGTTTTGAATATCCTTGCACTTTTTTGTTCTTCACCTGATCTTATAATCGTATTGTGTTGTACTGAGCCATTGAGATTTAGAGTAGAATAACAGCCACTGTTATTGTTTACGGTTTCTAATAAAGTTTCCCAATTATAAGCGGAAGTGACGTCATTGGTCAGTCTGCTGATTCAAAACAATGGCCGACTGGCAAGCTAGCATGTTACCTCTTGTGATCTTTTTAACCGTTTAACAACTAAGCTTCACTTGCTCTGTTTAAGAGGCTGTTACTGGGATGGATAGATGATTTAATAAGTGCACTTTTAAAGAAAAAAAAAACAGCCGGCAAGCCCAGCTTTTCGTTGCCAAAATGAGCGATGTTGTGGAGAAGACCCTGACAGCTCTGCCAAGCCTGCTGTCTTTAGACTCTCACTCTGGAGCTACAAAACTGTCCTCTACCTCAAAACTAGGAAGCTTCATCAGAGGGATCACTGAGTTAACGTCCAAACATGTGAGTCCGTCCTTAAAATGGAGCTTAGGTGAAATAAGACGAGTCATCTTTGGGTGATTGTGCTCTAACGTTAGCTTGCTATACTGTCTATGCTAACTCAAAAAAAAAGGTGTGTTTACGTGTTTTAACCCACTTACTATATGCCGTGTTTTCCCTGCATTACCGGCTATGTGTTGGACTGATTTACAGGTACCTTCTCGTTCCTGCTTTGTTATCATCACGAGTTAATTTAGACGTAAACAGAGCTGGGACTATTTTTAAAACCTGTCCTTGTTGGTGCGTTCATGTGCTTGTGATAAACTCAGTTATTCGAAGAGTCAGCTGACAATATGCTTTGCGTTCACAAACTGTGTTGCAGAGAAGTAAAGCTTGGAAGGAAAATATGGACATTGTGATAAATGTTGCTGCTGTCCTTCAGCTAATTCTCAAGTCCCACTCTTTAGTGTTGTAACATCCCGTAAACACGTGAATGCACCAATCACACATTGTTTGAATGGTAAATATTACTGATATTCTCTGTGATGTATTGCCTTTCTATAAAGTCTCTACAACTTGATTTTCAGTGTATACTTGCATGGTATACTGCAGGCAATGGCTAAGAGTAATGTTAGGTGTATATTATTGTTTTTTTTGTTTGGTTTATTGATTTTTTTTACTGTACAACAACCTTTGTCAAGCTCAAGATGATATCACTTTAAGAGTCTTACCTAAGAAATATGAGAAAACAGGAACTGAAAACTAGAACATTAAATCATATCAACAAACAGGCTTTCATTTATTTTCAAGAAGCAAACAAAGTTATCCAAAAGGCACATCATAAATAGTATAATAAACATTATTTCAAGGCATGAATATTAATAGATTGATAATCATAAAACAATACATTATTATATATCCACACGCTGTGTATCAGCCACTGTTTAACATTTGTATTAAAGTTAGGAGGGTTTGACACCTGTTTAATAAAAGGAGGCAGTTTATTCCAATCATAGCATCAGCACATTATAAAGAGAAGAATCCTTACTTTATAGTCTTAAATCTTTAAAGATTTAAATATGCTTCACAGGCTCTGGTAATATGAATATAAACATCTCGCACCCGTCTGAAATAACTACCTGGACACATTTCTCTGTGAGATCCTGATATGTATTAATGGGATGAAATATGTTCTTTTAACCTAACATGACTATTGACAGCCAACCGAGCGTGGTAGTGTCTTATGTTAGCAGGCATTTTGTCAGTATTTGATCTTAAAATCCTTAAGTGTGCTTCTCCTTTTTCAGGAAGAGGAAAAACTTGTTCAACGTGAACTAGTGTCTATCAAAGAGCAGGTGTCCTCCCCGAACACCTCCATGGTACGATTCTCCCGATTCTGCAGTGTGGTTTGTTAAGAAAGCAGAGGAGTCAAATAGGTCCAGTGATGCCTTCAATTATTGATGTGTTTACTTCCTCCTTGTGTCATAATCTCATCCAGAGGCAGATGAAGGAGCTCATGGTGAGAGCGATCTACTGTGAAATGCTCGGTTATGAGGCTTCGTTCAGCTACATTCATGCCATCAAACTGGCTCAACAAGGCACTGCTCTGGAGAAAAGAGTCGGTATGTTTGTTTGTGATGAACTGGAAAGTGTACTCATTCTTCAGAGTCCTCACTCCATGACTCTCCAATACTCACTTTGTCTCATTATCAACACCAGGGCGTGATTAGTAGATTAAAGCGTTTAAAGCTTAAAAGCAACTTTAACTCACTGCATCTTCCTGAACTTCGATGAGCAAAAGATGAGTTTGTGTTTCTGAATTGTAGGTTATCTCGCCGTGTCTTTGTTTCTGAACGAAAGTCACGAGCTGCTTCTCCTCCTTGTGAACACTGTGTTAAAGGTGGGTCTTGTGTTTTTTACAGCATTCGTCATTCGGGTGCTTTTCTTGGCAGAAAGGGATGTTGATGTAATTTGTGTTTTCAGGATCTGCAGAGCACAAATCTAATTGAAGTGTGCATGGCTCTAACTGTTGTCGGCCAGATGTTCCCCAAAGATATGATTCCTGCAATCCTTCCTCTGGTTGAGGAGAAACTTAATCACCCAAAGTAAGAAAGTCTTTGAATTTCAAGTCTAAATAGCTACCAATATGCATTCAAGTGATGAAAAGAATCTGCTTTAATATTATGATTTATAAGCTTTTTTTGAACATATTTGCAGAGAAATCATTCGAAGAAAAGCCGTCCTGGCACTGTATAAGTTCTACCTAATAGCACCAAATCAAGTTCAACACATCCACAACAAGTTTCGTAAAGCTCTGTGTGACAAAGACCCTGGCGTCATGGCAGCCTCACTACACATCTACCTACAGATGATCCAGGTAATTTGTTTTTCTGGACTCTGGACTTTCTGGTTTCATCGACTGTGATGAATCCAGTCTTTTCACATGTTTTTTCTTTTGTTACAGGACAATCCAGAAGGTTATAAAGACCTGACAGCAAGTTTTGTCACCATACTGAAGCAAGTGGTGGGAGGAAAGCTGCCCATGGATTTTAACTATCATAGTGTTCCGGCTCCATGGCTGCAGATTCAGCTTCTCAGAATACTGGCTTTTCTTGGGAAAAATGATCAGAGGTGAATATTTTTGTTCAACAATTAATCTTTGTACTCAAATCCCTGTGAGTACATTTTGTGAGTCTGTTCTTTGTTTGACAGTTCAAGTGAGATCATATATGAAGTCCTCGATGAGTCTTTACGAAGAGCAGAGATAAATCATAACATCACCTATGGTACGTCCAATTTAAAGTATCATTTTATTTTTGCAAAGTTGGTTGTCTAAAATCATTTTCAGTATTCTATTCAACCACTGTCTTTATTTCCAGCAATATTATACGAGTGTGTAAAATGCATTTACACAATTCATCCCAAATCTGAACTTTTGGAAAAAGCTGCAAAGTGCATTGGCAACTTTGTTCTGTCTCCAAAGATTAATCTCAAATATCTCGGTAAGATTCAAATACAACATTTTATTTCAGTAATTTCTTTACATTGACAATCAAGACGTCGGATATTGACTGTAGTAATTTGTTTTATTTGGTGTTACTGTAGGGTTGAAGGCCCTCACCTATGTGGTCCAGCAGGATCCTAAACTGGCCCTGCAGCATCAGATGACCATCATAGAGTGTCTCGATCACCCCGACCTCATCATAAAGCGTGAGGTGAGGCAGATACTGATGTTTCTGGATTTTAGTGTCATAGAGTTGGAGGTTTGTAGCATTATGGGACTTTTTCTGTTTTTTTCGTAGACACTGGAGTTGCTCTTTCGGATCACTAACGCACAGAACGTCACGGTCATTGTCGTGAAGATGCTGGAGTTTCTGCGAGTCAATAAAGATGACTACACTACCATTGACCTGGTGGGGAAGGTGGCAGAGTTGGCAGAAAAATATCCTTAAATATATAGTCATATACTTCTGGTGGCCCACTGCAAATGGAAAATAAGAAAACACATACAAAAATGTGCAAGAGTCATATAATTAAGCTGCTATAAATATTGAAATAAGAGCCTGCAATGCCTACTGGAGTTGTGTCTCTGATCCAAAAAGCAAATTGTAGAATAAGTTTATCGTGGTGGTGAAGCAGTACCTTTCTTGAAACATACGGTACCTGTTTATGGCAGCTTTTCAAGTTAAACACAGATCAAAGATGCAATTGTTCAGGCCTTCAATAACCAAGATATAGTGTGTTCTACATAACTGGAAGCTCACAATCTTGAAAAGCAAGCCTATTGGTTCTGACAATTAAAAGGGTCACAAACTTTACTTTCTGTGAAGTTGAATGGGATTTGTTTTACACAACTTCCTGCTACCTTCAGAGATCCTGGTAATCCTGTAGAATCATGGTTAGTGACACATTTTTTTAAAACTGCATAACCGCATTCAGTCTCTGTTTCTCAATACTAGAACTACTGGTGGTGTTTAAATTTAATTTAAATTAGTTATGAGTTATAAAAACAGAAATCCGATCCTTTAAAACCATGCTGTTGTATTATTTATACCGTGTTTGTTCCTATTTATTGTGTTGATTTAGTTTTCCTATGAACTATTATACATATGCACCAGACAATGAATGGTTCATTGAGACCATGAGCACAGTGTTTTCAGTGGGTGGAGACATGATGCAGCCTGACATCCCAAACAGTTTTCTTAAGCTGCTGTCTGAGGGTGAGAAACACACACACACACACACACTCAATATACTGTATATTATACTGTAGTTGTTGTTCTGCTGTGTTGTAATATTTCAGTTCAGTTATTTACTACTGATGCTGATTCCTAATTGTGTAATGCTATAATGTCTCTTTAATGGCCTAGGAGTTGACAGCGTGGAGGAAGACAGGAAGTTGAGGCTGTTTGCTGTGGATTCATATCTTTCTCTGCTGCAAGGAGAGCCTGGAAAACTGCCTCAGCGCTTCCTCCAAGTCATCAGCTGGGTGAGTGCTGTATGCACAATAAGCACTTTGTATAATTGTTATGTAATACTAATGAGAACAAGAAGCAGAAGAGGGGAAATGAAAACAAGGTTTGGTTTGAAGCATACTTTACGAATGACTTAAAACCTGTTACCACTCTGACGGATACATACAGTACATACGTATATCTGGTACCGTGGTGGCCTAAAAATGGACACTTGTCAATTCATTTTTACAGGAATGACACAAAAATACACAATCACTTTACAGATTAAAAACATTCAATTCAACATTCAACACTATTGCTTCAAAATGTAACTGACAACACACTATATACGGATACTATGCAGGACATACACCGAATAACACACTAAACGTTTGGCCCTTTCTCTGCCGTACACAGGTCCTCGGTGAATACTCCTATCTGAGGGAGGAACTTGAAGCGGCCACAGTCCTGAGGCTGCTGGCCAAACTATTGGACATGAAGAGCACCAGCAGTGAAACCAAGAGCTGGGTCCTCGTGGCAATGACCAAGCTCTGTGAGGGCGGGGCAGGTGTTTCTGTGGCCCAGGAGGTTTGTGAAACATACAGCAGCTCCCTGGACACAGTACTGAGACAGAGGGCTCAGGAGCTGCAGCACCTCAGCCAAGACTGTGAACTACGAGCCAGGGTGCTACCTCGAGACGCCGGCCTGGAGCCCCTGGAGGTAACATGCGTACGCAGCAGAATTACAAAAATTATGTTTAAGTGTGCGGTAAATTGTCAATGTGATGTTGTTACCAGTCAATACTCATGGATACCTGGTATATTGGAGACCTTGAAAGTCCGTTGTTGTTGAGACTTGTGTAAGAAAAGAGCCATAAAATGATTTAGCTCTGTGAACCTCGGCAGATGTGACTTTGTAGTTCCTTCCCTCTTTCAGAGTAAGTGCTTATTATCTGATGGTTGGAAAACAAAACCTGTCTCGACTTGCCCTCCATGACACACAGTATTATTACACTATTTACTGTATTTATCGAAATAATGGGAATCATCATATCGGCCCTAATCAAAGCCGCTGTTAAAGCCTGTCTAGAGTTGTCTGATGGGTCAGGTTTACCACAGAACTCCATTCAGTATCCGATGGGAGTAGAGAACAATAATTATATTATAAATACACAAATGCTTCCTCTGGTTGTTTCAAATTTCATGATTTTGTGACAAAAATTGTGTAAAAAATTATCTACATAAGTTATATTTGCAAGCGCACACAAATAACAGTTTAGTTTAGTCCTGCAGAACTTTGTCAAATGATCTTCCCATTTCCACTAAAAGAGAAGTTTAAAATTTGTTGTTATTGATGTTGGTTTCCAGGTGGATTCCTCTCTGTCGTTTCTGGATGGATTTGTGTCGGAGGCCTTGGCTGCTGGCGCTGCTCCTTACAAGCCTCCCCATCAACGGCAGGAGGAACTAGCTCAGTCAAAAGGTAAAAGATTGAGGTTTAGATTTTGGCCACACATGCTCTGTCTTGTTTTGATTTGTTCTGACTGTGTTTTTTGCCCTCAGCGTTGAGCCTGGAGCCATACGGCCTGTCCCTGCCCATCAGCATGTCCTCGTGCAGCATCGCAGACAGACAGTCTCCTACACTGTTGTCTGTAAGCTCCGGTCTGTCAGGCGATAGCCCCGACCTCTCTCACAAAGGAGGGTACGTGGACACACACGCACACTTATGCTGTCTGATTTTAAATAGGTCGCACACAAATGCACGGCTGGCTTCGAACTTTGTTTTTTGTTTCAGCTCTACAACTCTGAAGCTGGACGGTGTGAAGAGGGTGTGGGGGAGGGAGGGCTACCTGTCGCAGAGGGAAGCTGTGGAGGAGTCCGCCCATGTTGAGGTTCCCAGTCCCCTCTGGTCACCCAGCCAGCAGGGAGAGGCTGACAGTTCCCACAGCCAGACTCCCGCTACGACACTGACCCCGCAGCCCGAACAAGAGAAACAGCAGCTGGCCTCTTCGCTGTTTGTCGGCCTGGGCTCCCAAAGCTCTGTGTGTCTGGTGAGCTTTTTAATTCTTCTTTTTTAGTTTGAGGTGGGGATGCCCAGTCTGAAGTAAAGATGCTAAGTGTGATAAATGCGTTTGATTGTATAGAAGTTGAAAAAAAACTATTAATCAAAATAGTTGGCAGCTATTGCTGTGCAGCTCATCCATTCTGATGTGATGTTGAAGCCATTTTGAAATTGTCACAGTGAACGTTATAACAATGATAAAACAAATATGATACACTGTGCATGCATATGTTACAACTAACACTTTTCCTTTTTAACAGATGGGAAAATCTGAGCCGACAACCCAGCGATTCAGAAGAAAAGGAAAAAGTCCGGTCTCGTCCTCGGGTGCCAGCGAGCAAATATCCAACTCCCTCGTCTCTACTCCGAGCACAGTGAATAACTTGCTGTGTAACAACCTCCTGGACTCCAACGTCACCTCAGAACTGGCTGTTTCTTCACTCGAACAGACGTCCCAACTCTCTCAGGGCCCCGCTGCTGCAAACGGCACCTGTGATGTAGAGTTAACGGACGGTGACATGAAGGAAAGTAGCCCCTCTCTCGTTGGGGGTAACGGTGTGGTAGCTGCTGATCCGGCTCCACATGAAGACCCAGACAGACCTGAAGGCTTGTGTCTCAATACTCATCTTCCTGCAGAGTTCTCTGGACTCTGTCACTCAGAAATCACTCCTCTGTGTTCAAACCAAAGCCTGGATCTCTCGGCCTGTCATGTGCAGGAAGAGGATTCTTTAGCGCTGGTTGTTTTCATTTACAACTCCTCTGACTCTGACATTCAGCAGATACTACTGGAGCTTGACTCAGATGAACTTGAGGTACAGTTACTATTGAGCAGAGCATTATTAATGTAAGTCTTATACTCTCCTTGTAGGACTTGTCATATTAAATGGCATTTTGTTGTTATGCTTGTTCCAGGTATCCTGTGTGTGTGACGGTGCAGTGCAGGAAGCGAGAAGCCACAGCGTAGCAGTGTGTCAGTATTCCCTGAGTGTGAAGAGGCCTTCAGTCCATGTTGAAGTGGTCGGGATGGTGTCTTACCAGTTTCCTGTCGGGACGCCTCAGTCGGTGCAGTTCTCATACAAACTGCCTCTAACCAGCTTCATCAGGTGAAACATTACTTCTTTTTCAAGTGTGATCTTGCAGAGAAGATTAGTTGCTTACTGTAATTTCCCATGTTTCCTTCAGACCTCTGACCGTGTCCACAGAAGAGTACGGGACAATGTGGCTGGACTTCTCTCATGATACAAAGCAGAAGCTGACACTGATAAGTGATGGCCAAGAACCTCTCGCAGACACTCTGAATGTGCTGAAGAAGAAACTTAAGCTCCATGTCGTGGAAATCATTGGTGAACAGACATCTGAAACATTTATTTATTGTGGTAACAAGTTAGATAGTCTTTAATATCCCCGAAGGTTTGTTTGCACATGTTCCCGTCTCACAAGAAAAACATACAGATACATAAAAAACACAGTGGCCGTATAGCCATATATACACATATATATTCGTATTTATAGATATACAGATATATATATAAAGTATGAAAGCTCATTCTTGACCTTAAAAATGTTTGTTTCACAAAATAATCTTCACACAAAGTCCACTTACTGGCTTTTTCCAGAGCTTTTAACCTAGCTGATGAAGACCATGAGCTGTGATTGAAGGTTTGAGAAAAGAAAACGATAAATTGGTCCTGTGGCTTTATTAATGTTAATGAATTGGCTATTAATGCTAACTTACATCTTATACCAGATGCATCAGATGTAATGTATATACAGCATTAAGCTGAAGAAAATATGGAGCCCCAGTCCATTCTCAGTCTTTTAGAATCAATCGCCACTCATGTTTGATTTATTCACTTGTTCCAGAGCTTTAGAGCTCTATAAGATTCAAAGTCATTAGTTTTGATACTATTATTTCAGGACATACATACCTATGTGAAAGGTGCAGTGGCACAGTATTTGACCAATAGGTCGATATGTGTTAAATGCAGCCTACGTTTCCCATGTATTTTGTATTGTATTTGTGATTAACCTTTATTATTCCTCCCCACAGGTATGGAAGGTATCGTAGCGTGCCGGCTCCTCCAAGATCAGCCGTGTCTGATGCACTGTCGTCTGCATGCGGGAACGCTGTCCGTGTGGCTGCGCTCTCCGGTCCCCGACCTGCCCGACTGCCTGATGTACCACTGTCAAAGAGCTTTACAGGAGCACTGAGCCTCCGACTGCAACTCCTCCACTGACCCCACTGAGCAACGTGACCACCTGACCCTCAACTACTGAAGAAGAAGGTACACAAAGCAGTAGCGCAGAACATCTTTATATTACAGTGTTGACTATTTGTTTATCTCTCCCACGAGACTATTTTGTCCTCGAATCATTTATTTTTTGACAGTTAAATTGCTGGAATAATTCACAGGGTCACAACTGTTTGAATGTCATGGCTGGAATAAACCTCAGGGCCAAACGATTGTGTTTTTAACCTTCTGTGGGTGTTTGACGTTTCAGAACAACAATAATGTCTTAAAATGATGGCAGGGCTTCACTTGAAAACTTCAATGGGTTCAAACATTGTTAGTATGCAAGATATTCTTGGAATGAGGTGAAAATCATGAATTTCCACCGTTATTTTTTGCGCCCCTGGTCTGCGTGCTGAGAGAGACATCATGTCCTGCTTTTTAATTTGTAACAGGATTTTTACAAATCAACCACATTTTCTAGGCTAGAACGATCATAACAGTGAAGCCCAAATGTGTTTTAATCAGACAAAGACAAAAGGGTAATTTGGGTTATTTTCAAGTTCATCAATACTGACTGAAATGGAGAGAATGGCATGTATTCTTGCATTGGACTGGTTGATGTTAGTTATGAGGTTTTTTTGGGAGAAGCACAGTGAAAATATTGATATATGTTTTGAAATGAATTGTTCATTATTTCTGGTGTGGAAACAAACTTTTCGAGGAGAACCTGCTCGTCTTACATCTCTCTTTGTCTTTAGGGTGACATCATGCTAACGCTCACCTCTGACTGCAGCAGTTCCACATCTGTCTTTCATCTATGATGAGAGCGTTTTGTCTTAAGTAACAATGTCCCTCTGTGATGTTCATATTGTCCATTTGTCATTGTGATGAGGAGCATTTCAGGTCTTCCTCCTGTTTTGTGTGATATGATTATCTATGCACTCATGTTTCAGTCAGTTTTGGTGAGAGGTGTATTTTAGTGGTCTTTGATTATTATATTTTTGTATCAATGCAGTATTAAAAACATATTTATTGGATTTATATTCTTACAGAAAATATTTTGTATTCATTTTTCTGAAAGAAATCATCGTGCTCCATGTGCTGTTGGATCGTGCTGTGTCAGATTTGACTTGCTCAGCCTGTATTATTTAATTCACCCTGACGGGAGAGTTTGGTCTTTGTTGCCTGTGTCCTTGTTTGAAGCACAGCGTGAAGCTAGCAATGTGTCGAAAACTCCACTTTAACCCAACGTCTTATGTTCTAATGCCGAGGTGGCGTGTTTGGTTTGTGCCTGTGGTACAGAGGAAATCCTTGTTTCTTACAGTGCCTGTCACTACATTCTGCTAACTTATGAATAAATCCAACACGTGTAAACTAACATGATTTTGACTCAACGATTATTCATTAAATGAACACAGATGTGCTGCACTTGAAGCAAAGAGGGACGTTATTACAGTAAAGAAAAACATTTCAGACGATCTTTCCTCTCATGGGATATTTGAAATATTTATTGAATGAGTATTTACTTACTACAAACACCAAAAAAACACAAAAAAAATACTAGTATCATTTGATTTGCAGCCTTTGTCGTACAGTCCACATTTCCATTCACTGAGACCCTAAAAAGAAGTTATCTCTGAATACTATCAACCTTTTTTATAGAGATTTAACATGGAAAAAAACAATATAAGATAGTGAGGGTTAATGAGTTTCTATCTGGATTCATCATACTAATGCATTTACACCCAATATTTTATATATATATATATATATATACATTTGTATGTAACACTCCTCACTATTCTATACTTTAACATTGATATTTTAACTTTATTAATTCTTAAAACAGTAAACCTAAACAGTAACGCTAAAGGAAACAGATACTGTCTGTAAAATATGTCATTGACTTGTTTTAACATGTTTTAACTTCATTAACAGGACTGAACTCAGATCAATATTACAAAATGACTGTCTGATTGACTCAGTCCAGGTCCTAAACAAAAGCAAGTTGGCTCCACATTAGGACAGCATTTTGATACCTTAAGACAGCTAAACAACATCTATATCCATGTCTATCCTGTTTTTACAAACTGCATCACGTGGGCTAGAAGATCATGCTTGCACTGTTTCTGTTAAAACTGTCAGTAGTATTTGTTAAAGGTCAGTAACGTCAAAATAGACAACATTTAGTAAGAAAGAGACGTCTGCAGGGATGGCGTATTTTTGTAGATCAACCCGGAAGTTAGCGTCGCACTGGTTCCATCGACAAAAAGCCAATGAGGTTTTCGATTGGATTTGTGATTATTGCAGAAAATAAGATCCGTAGCAAACACAAGGTTATGATATTTACACGTTTTGTTCAGCGAGATATTCTTCACAAATGAACACACGTTAGGCTACAAAGTGATGTTTTATGGTCTCACTTAAACTTTTTTTTAATACATGTAAAAACTTTAAAAATCCAAGAGAGCGGGAGTTACTGAAAAAAACCCATTGACTTTGAGACGAGGGAACCATGTCCTGGGTTTAGGACCCATTCCTGCAGCACTCTATATTGAACTATGAAAACCCAAAGTACCAACGGTTGTGGGTTTTTGCACATTTGTACAATCAAGGGAATATTTTTGTATCGGTTACATACTTCACAATATGCACTACCAAGTAGTTTCCACCAAAATGTGACCCCTGCACGTGTCTCAGTGCTGACTGTGTTGAGTTGATGTGGTTCGAGGGATGAAGCGCATGGCCAGGCTGTGCTCGTCCTCCACAGGCTGCTGTGACAGGTTGTTCGTCTGCCGGATGCTGTTGAGGGTGCAGCCACGGCGAGGACACACGGTGTAACGAGACAACAGAGTGACCAGGATGGCCTTCATCATCACCATGGCTATGTGTTTGCCCACGCAGGAACGAGGCCCGCATCCGAATGGCTGGAAGAAACGACTGGGCACCTGCCAACCAGAGGAGGTAGAAACTGAGCTGCTGTTGTCCTTAAAGCCACATGATGTTGCACAACATTCACCAGACTTACTGTTTTGTCAAAGTTCATCAGGTTGAACACTTTTGGGTTTGGGAAGAATTCGGTCTTATGCATAAGACCAATGTTGAGAATGATGTTGGTTCCTTTTGGGATTTTAGTGCCTTCGATGTTGTCATCCTCCAGAGCTTTTCGCATTGTGAAATCAACCACCGGATGAAATCGCAAAGACTCGTTGATGAAATTCTCCAACACTTTTAAGCTTTGATAATCAATGTTTTCACCTTTTTCACCTGGAAATGAAAACACAGCATTGACGGAATAGTTTTGTTTTTAGCTGTCAGAGTGTAACAGAGAATAATACAGCACAAATGCGCTCACTCAAGACAGCGTTCATCTCCTCCACTATCCTCAGCTCTACGTCTGGGTTTTGTTTCAGCAGCATCAGCATGAAGAAGAGGCTGATGGAGAGTGTGTCAGGTGCTGCAATCACCATCTCCAGCACGCACTGCCTGACGTTATCTGCTGAAAGCTCTCCGACATTCTGCTCAAAAGAAAGTAAAGGTACGCGGCAAACACATGACATGATCAGTACAATACCTCTGTGACGCAGGTGGTATAGATTTATCAAAAGGGACAAACCTGAGCAAAGATGAGCTCTGTTGCAAAATCAAGATCATCATCCAGCTTCTCAGACTCATTTATAATCTTTCTTTTCATTTCAAGAAGGCTCTCCATCACGTCCTGCAGCTCTTGGCTGTTGACACAAAAAGCAACACATAGATTAGGTTGAAGAAATCAAGTTGAAGAAATCTGTTGAGTTGCTGTGATGCGTGAGGATCTTACGCTGCTCTCTTGTGCTTGTTGTACAGCCATCCAATCTTGAAGAATATATCAGGCTTTATAAGAACTGTTTGCCAGGTCTCAAAGTAGCTGTGGATTTTCATCAGCAAGTCCTTCTCTGAGTTATGAGGAGCAACAACAACAAAACAGGAATCAGGAGCTGCAGTGCAAGAATTTGAAATATTATTTGCTGTCAGAAAATAGGCAGTTTGAGTGTAGAATGTGCAGACAGTGACAATGCAGCTGACCATTGAGCGGCACCCTCAGGAAAAGCCTGTTGGAGATGTCCACCACTATGACTCTTAGCAGATTGAGAGCGTCCACGTGTCTGGAGGGGTCGGTCATCTTCTGCAAGTGGTCCAGATGTTTGGCTGTGGAGCTCACACAGATTCTCACCGTACGCTGGAGGCCTGGGCCTGTCAGAGCTGTAAAACAATCATGAGACAATACAGTAGTTCAAATACAAGAAAGCAGTGTTTCAGTTATTGCAAGACTTCAATTTTGCAGGAGTTGAAAAAGAGAGAGAAGGAGAGTGGTAAAATATGGCACCACAGTACTCTGACTACATACTCTCTTGTGTAAGGTTATTGCTCACCTTTAGAGAAATATGTCCTCACTTTTCTCCAGAGCAGAACATCGCTGTTGAAAATGATACCCCTCCCTTCCATCCCAATACACTCCAGCCCTTTTTTGCTCCCGAATCTGGCTGTGTAGTGGGCGCTCCTCAGGACATGATACACTGCTGAAGATCTGGAAGAGTAGCCAGGCTTTGACTCACTACAGATTCATGGGATAAGATAGAAGTTTGTTTGTTTTTATCTCAAAAGACTTGCCTGCTCAGAATGAGGGTCTCCTCGCCGTTAATCCAGACCCGGACAATGCTGCCATATTTGTTGTTGTAATAGTTGCTCGCTGTTCCTATCCCCGTCCAGATGAATCTGCCGTAGGAGAGGATAGGACCGAGTCCTGCCAAGAAGGACGGACCTGACAGAAAGAAACAGGTGTTGACTCAAGACATAATAGGTCCCAGGCTACTAATGTCCAAGTGAAAACAGAGGTCTTCCTGTATGGAAATCAGTTACTGTTTTCATTATCAATAACGTGATGCGGAAACATCTACTTTTGGCTCACACCTGCAGTCCCTTAAGCATTTTCGATAAATCTGTGCAACTTTTGTACAAGAACAGACGCTGAAGTCTCTTACCGGGTATATGTGACCGTTTTATTCGGCTCCAGGCCGTGAACAGCAGCAGTAGCAGCAGCAGAAGCAGAACAGTGGTGACTTCAGACATTGTGTCGACCACCTCGCTGCCAACGGTGAGTGTCTCCGGCGGCTGCATCCCCATCTAAACACACACATGAGCATGCTTACTGTGTCCTCTGTCTGTCCTGTGCTCATAAAGCTTCTCCTCTAATAACCAGCAGACAAAACAAGCTCATCCGTGGACATCCCTTGTAATTCTCTTGTCCTTGTGTATAACACAGCCATGGAACACATTAAAACCAAAACACACCCACACAAAGCTTTAGGATGAACTATTTGTTACTCAGACAGCTGCTCAATATGTCAATATGTGTGGGTGACAGATTATTCCCTCATTTCTTTTAATGGTATTACAGGTTTATCATTCTCATAATATTAGGGTCTTCTCTTGAGATATCAGGTACATTGTGTTGCAAATATTCCTGACAGAACTCATCCAAATAGAAACATGACAGAGTTCGTTTCAACTGAATTTCACTACTTAAAATTTGTGTTTCACTTTAGTGTACTACAGGAGCTAACACAGTCTCTCAATACAGGAACAAAATCCACATAATTCCATTTTTAAATTGAGTAAAAATTGGGTTAACATTTGCTCAGATTTCATCTTTTATCCTTAACAGTATCTTTTTGCCTTTTTTTTAATTGTTCATTAACAAATTATCAAAGAATATTACTTACTTCTCTTGCTCTTTTCGACCGCTGACGAGTTACAGTGCAGTTTAAAGTGATGCCGTTCTTCCTCCACCGGTTGTAAGGATGATCAACATGCTCCTACCAAATAAATCACAGTCATTCAAGTGTTTCTAAATCCTCGGTTAAGCCCTCATTTTACCGGTTGCTTAGAAACACCAGTAAAGGGGTTACAAGTACCATTAGATGCACAGTGAACAGGCCAGATAACCATGCACGTCTAATGCTCAAAAAGAACAAAAATAATGCAAAACTGCAGGTCTTTCATCCCTTTTACTCTGCAGCACTTTTTTTGATGGATTTACTTCACATTTAGCTTTGTTTAAAAGAAAGAAACCCCACTGTCATCCCCTTGAGGAGGCTTTTCAACAAGAAATTAATTAGCTGGGTCAGGCTGACCCTTGTCAAAGGGAGTAGGGATTTACTCAGCAGTTTAGAATAGGAAACACCAGAAAGAGAAAATGTCATCTTTATTATTTAAGAATTTAAAGTCTTATAAATGTCATGAACTGGTGTCAGTGCTCCACTACTTTAAAATGAGAATGGATGCAAAATCAAAAAGGGGAAACAGTGTTCATGCAGAGTTTGGGTGCTTCTGACGAGCTGTCCTTCAAGCTTAGTACCTGAATAGCTGGTATTCTGTTGACAATGATGTTGGCCTCAGATTTAGGGGTTTGGATTGGGGCTTTTCTCCAAAGTTGGCTGAAAAACCTGCTCTCCTGATTGTAGTAGAGACTAAACTGGATAATAAGACCTTTTTGGAAATGGAGAAACTTTACTGTTACTTCTCCACCGACACAAGTGGAGAAAAAATATGTAACTATACTATCTTTGTAAATGCATTATGCAATAACTGAAAAACACAAAATTCCATTTATTAAAAGGAGATTTTGGTACACACACACACGCACACACACACTCAGTGTTTTATTGAAAGCGCTCTGAAAGCTCTTTTGTAAATCCAAAGAATGCTCCACTTGTTCACAACTTATTTATTCCACTTCCATGTCATTTTGTGTAGGACGGACCGGTGGCAATATTGAGAGGAAGAGCATCAGAATGATGAGAAGCACGAAGGCGTGTCATTCTGGAAATATGTCCATTAGCTGCTTCTAAATCAAGTAGGCCTACAGATATCTACTGTTTCCCAGATGCTTGTTGTTGCGCAATGCGTCATGTGGTTCTCCGACGTTACAGACGAAACTCGACATGTTTATTTCTCTCCAACAGCTCGAGCGTAGTTTCCCTCTGACGTCTCATCTGTTGGCAAGTGGTCAGATATGTGCTGTATGTGCTTACGAATTTCAGAGCTCAGATTACTCAGCAGTGGAGGAAGAACGAGCACGGCACAAATATGAAGGAGATGATTGGAGCGTTTCTGGCGTGCAAAGGGCTGCTGGTGGGGATGTGTGCGTTGCTGCTCCTGAGCTCAGGAGGTTTAGTGTTCCTGCTGGTACGACAGAAAGAGCTGACGGAGGAGCTGGTGAGGTTGGACGCCCAGGTGCAGGTGCTGTCACAGAGCTGCAGGCTGCAGGCAGGAGTCCTCCGGCCCACAGACCCCGCAGAGGCTGGAGAGCTAAAGAAGCTCCAGCGCAGCAGAAGAAACCAGGAGGGAGAACCAACACAAAGCGAGGACGAGAAGGATATGATGATGCTGATGACATACTCCATGGTTCCTGTAAGACACCTAAATGCTTTAAAGTGTTCTCTTTACGATTAATTGATTGTTGACACAATAATAGTTGATAATCGATTAATCATTTTGTGCTCTGGGAACTTGAATTGAGTGTTTTTCCACTATTTTCTGACATTTCATAAACGACTTATCAATTAATCCAGAAAATAAAAGATAGAATAATTTAAAAAAGAAAGCAATGCTTGATGTATCCTTAACTATTATTGGTGATTATTAATCGATCATGCCAATAATAAAACTAGCCTTTATGTTGGTTAAATACGTGCGTAATGTGAGTAATGTGCTGTCAAAACATACAGTAGCACCCTCTGGAGAAATGCCAGTTCCCATCAGATGTGAGAACTGTTGAGGGAGGAGCAGACACACTCCACTGCTCTACACAATTTATCCTGGAAACACTCAGTGGAAAAACAAATCACTGCAACAGACTCTTGGATTCTTTGCATTTCACGGACATACTTCTTATCCCAAAAAGGGAGAAGAGAGGAAATGTTTCTATTAAAGATGAAAGCAAGGAGATGTTAATCGCTGCTCTCTTTTGTCTTATAATAACATAATGAGAATTTCTCTTTTCATGTGTTTCACAGAAGTAAACAGTTTGCAATATTCACAATTTTTAGCTTTCAGATGTTGTAACAATCAACACTGACTTCAACGTCTGTTTTCTTTATTTCAGGTCAAAGCCTTCGTGGATCTGTGTAATAGCTCCAGAGGACTTTGTTTCACAGGTGCACTTCTCAAATATTGCACATTCCAGTGCTGTAGTTTACATTGTTGCTGCTTCTACTCTTTTTGGTTTGTATAAAATTCTTATTTATCCCCCCCCCAGGCCCAGCTGGACCACCAGGTAAAAAGAAACACTTTAACTAACTTCATCAGTTATTTAAGCTGAATTTGTTACTGCAGCAACACCCCTTGTTCCTGTTAGGTTTGCCTGGTAGAGCTGGTTCATCGGGACCTCAGGGTGCGCCCGGGCCGGAAGGGAGACGAGGAAAAAGAGGTGAGAGATCTGTTGTGTCAAAATAGACTAACCCCCCTCGTTAGATGTGCACCACAACAGACAAACTCAGAAAGTCAGTCACAAGATTCAAACAGTCTTCCGTTGTTCAGCCATCGTTGCATAACATGACAATCCCACTCGCTTTTCTATCGCTGCCACGTTAGCAAAGCATGGGAGATTGATTCAGTTGAAAGCGTTTACTGGACTGATTAAACCTGAATTATGCTGGTTTCAGGTCGGCTCGGTTGTATTTAGCACTTTGAGACTTCATGTTTAAAATATATGTACATGTTCTCAGTCCTACAATTAACACATGATCATCCTGTTTTTAATTTCCATTTTCAACTCATTGGTTTGAACTAAATATCTGTCAATGACTAGGACGCCCTGGAGAACCAGGACCTAAAGGAGACCCTGGAACTCCCCGACCGAAAGGAGAGACCTACAATGAGATTCTCATTGAGGGTGAGCGATGACGACATATTCGAACCTGATATGAATAACGTGATTAACAGACAGGAAGTCAGTCACATTCCAGATTACATCTGAAAAATCAACCTATGTTATTTTGGGAGTGAACTAGAGGCTTGATGTTTGGCTCTACTTCTGGTGAGGTTTCAAGAGCAGCTAGATGGCCACCATGTTTGTTCAACACTTTATCCTGTTGTGGGATGTAATAAACAAAGTGAACTTGTTTTTGATAAAATCTTAATTTAATGATTATATTTTTATCTAACTTCAAATTGGAAATAAATGTTTTGATTTAAAGTTTCCCTTTAAAGGTTATTTCAAAAGTGCCTGTCATTGATGAGCAGTATTGTTTATTAGGCTATTTGTACATGTCTGATATACAGCCACTGCATTTTAATATTTAAAGGTCCTCCTGGTCCAAGGGGTCCAGCAGGCCCACCTGGTCCACCATGTCCTGCTTGGTATTCTAATGAAGTGAGAAACAAGACCATCGGAGAACACAGCCGTCAAAACAACATGTTGATGGGTGAGAAGAACAGAATCATTGGGGGTGGGGATTTTAGAGATAATAGATTAAAGGTCACAGTCCTCTAGACAAACATTGTCACCACGCACCTTTATTTATTAAAGGACCAGCGTGCAGGATTTAGGGGGATTTATGGGCAGATATGGAATATAACTATGTTTTCATCAGTGTGTAATCACCTGAAACTAAGAATCGTTGTGTTTGTGTTACCTTATGAGCCTTCATATTTACATAGAGAGCGGGTCCTCTTCACAGAGTCCGCCATGTTGCTCTAGTTCTTCGACACGCTTGTGAAAAGAAAGGGGTGAGTAAAGGAATCTGCAACCTCGCCGCTAGATGCCACTAAATCCTGCTCATTTCTCCTTTAAGTTAACTGACCAATTATATTGTCTGTAAATTGTATTCTCTAACGTCTAAATACTTTTTCAGAGGAATCTCTACTCCACCAGGAATACAATTCTAGTTGGGAAATTTATTATCCCCAAAAAGTTTTAATTTAAATATATTGAGTCTAAAATACTGAAATCAGCCTATGAAATATGCACCAAATGTTGTTTCTCAATAGCAGAGTAACTGCCCCAGTAAAAAGGTAGCTATGGCTGCTGATCACAGATATGCTCCATGGAGGCTTTTCATGTCTACAAGGGGGGACATTTGTCAGTGAATGAAGTTAACCTCCATTTCTTCTCTTACTCTACATATTTAGATTCATCTCCTTCTGTGACCGATGCAGAAAACCGCAACTCAACAATTAACAAGAATGGTAGGAAGGGATTCAGAATTTACATTTAGTGTACAACAATTATATGAGTTAATGATTTAGATTATCGGCTGTTTGTGACTTAGTAATAATAATAATAATGTATGATGTCTTTATTTCCACAGAATCACCACATCCAGTAAATGAGAGCAGAGATGTTTTGAATGTTACCGCCTCTAAAACAACTCTAGACACAAGTACGGACTCTGGTGAGCAACCGTGATAGGACAACTTTTTAAGTTTGTAAACATTACATAATTGTATCAATATTATTATTATTATATTATTATTATTTATTTAGCCTTTATTTAACAATCAACCATTTATTTTACAAGGAGACCAGGCCACGAATAGCAGCCACACAGTTTCAACAATTAACAAAAGAGCACATAGATTTGAGTAACAATAAATATGATCAGATCACACACAGATTTGCACACAGACATCTTGGACTTGGTGCAGAAAATCTAAAGCTTTCTTTCCCAATTCAGTTCTGACTTTATGAATAACAAAAGACAAAAGGTCCTTCGAAGTGAGATTGTAATTTCCATAATTCAAATTTAAAAGAGAAAATAAGTAGGTAAGAATTTGACCCAAGAATCACTTTGCGAATAAAACCATACTAGTGTACATAAAGTAGGCCCATTCACTTTTGAGTATAAAGCACAACGGTGAGTAAGAGATCCACAGTTTGTAAAGAATCTCAGATAACGCTAGCAGCTTGTAAAGACAGCAGAGGCATTCGTGTACAACTCATCGTCATAGTCAATGAGGTAAAAAAAAAAAAAGGTAAAAAGTGAAAAGACTTGTTTTAAAAGTAAACATACTGGATATGTACCTTAAAACACAAGTGGTCATCAATTAAACACCCAACTCAATGTATTGATCATTTCTGGTAACAATTTCCATGTTAACTGATTCATTTTACAGCCCCACTTACTCCAGACAAAAACAGTACCACCTTCAATGGCAGCGGAAACATTAAGGATACACCAATGAAAAGTGGTAAAGAAACTGACCTATTTCTGAACTGTTTTTGGCATCAGTATTATTGAGCAATGCACATATGTTTAGTTCAGTCAAGGCACAAATATAAACTCTAGTTGACAACCATTTTGAGTTTCAGGAAGATCTTATTGACAGATTTGAACTTATTCCACTGTATTTAATAACAAAACTTTGTGTAAAAATGTATGGTAATCCAAATTCTGTTTCATTTACCACAGAGTTCGTATCACCTCGTCCAGACCACAGACGGGACTTGTGGATTGGAACCAGTACAGAGAATGTTACAGAGGCATCAGTATTAGCAGGTAGGAGATACTGAAACTCATTGTTCATATGTTTGGACACGCAGATCTGATCCTAACTTCATACTGTACTCATCTTATTTAATCTCCACAGTGTTACCAACACCACATCCAACTCGTGAAGCCACAGATGTTTTTAACGTTACTGACTCTGAGAATCTGCGAGAGACAGATAAGGAATCTGGTATGCAACCGTTGCTGGAACATTTCCTTGACAGACCTCTTTACTGATCTTTTTGTAATGTATTGTTTGTATTTATTTACAAAAATGTGCTTAAAGAATCAAGTATCTGCAGGAAAGTGCTCCCTGTGACCGTGATGATGAAAATCAATACCTTTTATTTGCCAGAGTCAGTATCATTTCATAAAGACTACAGCCATGACGCCGTGAATATCACTGGGAATGTTACAGACGGACCAATACAATTATTAACAGGTAGGAAACACTTTGTTTTGAATTATGAGTAAAGAAAGTGACCATAACTTTAAAAACAATATATATATGTTTCATTTCATTCCACAGTTCCTCTCTCTGTGGACCAAAACAGGGATTCCTTCAATAACAGTGGAGCCATTATTGATGCACCCATGACAAGTGGTAAGAAACTGTCTATTGGTATCACTGTTTTGTATCAGTTTTGAACGTAAATGGAATAAAAGTCCAACGTTTACAGTAGTTCAAGACTACTCACAATATATCTCTTAAAATTGGGATTTTTTTCTTTTTCATAATTATTTCTTTAGACGCTTCATTTTCACTCCAGAACAACAACAAGCTAAATTTGACTAGCGAAAAGGGATGGACAAAACCCAGTGAGTAAACTGTGAATTTAAGCTTCAAATGACTGAAGTAAACAGCAATACATTGTATGAATTGATGTTTTTGTGATATGCTGTTTTAATTATATTTAATATCTGTACCATCTCTTCTAGTTGAATCTCATTTTTCTTTC